ATGAGAGAGAGAGAGCATATGAGAGGGGGGTGGGTCAGAGGGAGAAGCAGACTCCCTGATGAGCAGGGAGCCCGATGTGGGACTCGATCCCAGGACTCCAGGATCATGACCTGAGCTGAAGGCAGTCACTTAACCAACTGAGCCACCCAGGCGCCCCTTTTTTGTACTTTTCTACACTCTTTTTTTGTTGTTGTTGTTTTTACAACGAGTACCTAATTTTAACAAAAGAAACACAAAGCCATCTTTGTTTTAAAAAAGACAGGTCCTAAACATGTTTTTCTTTAAAAATAAGCAATATATGTAAATAAAAACAAATACCTCTAATTACATGGTAAAAAACAAACTAAAAATTCCCTTTATTTACAAGTTAATTTTTAAATTTAAGTCTCTGGACAATTTAAAGTTTTTCACAATAACTAAACATGTTTTCATTCATGGTTTTATCACTATTGAGATTTTAGCTCCTCTGAGGGCAACAACTGTAAATTATCTGTGAATTCTAACTATACCAGGTATCGTGAATATATTAAATACAAGGCACAGTAAATGTTAGCCACGGTGATTCTGACTGGTACTCTGAGACAGTCTCACCTCCAACAAATGTTGAACGAGATGAGTCCACAGGCATAGTAAGCCCTAAAGCTCCCAGTCATATCAATCAGGAATTATTTATACATCCAATATTTTTCCTTCTAAGGGGAGGAAAAAAAGCCAAAATAGTCTAACCATAAAAAAAAAAAAAAATAGTCTAACCATAAATATGCTCAATCTTTTTAGAAATCCCTTCAAGTATCAATACTTAATATAAATAAGAAAAGATACAAAAGTTAAGTCTTTGTGTTTGAGTAACATGTAAATAACTGTAAGTGGCACGGGTTTTTTTTTTAAGATTTTTTTATTTATTTGAGAGAGAGAGAAAGAGCATGCAAACACGCACAATGAGGGGGGAGGGAGGGGCAGAGGGAGAGGGAGAAGCAGACACAGGGCTCAATCCCAGGAAATTGGGATCATGACCTGAGCTAAAGGCAGATGCTTAACCGACTGAGCCACCCAGGTGCCCTGGTTTTTTCTTTTGATAATTGGGGAATTACTAGTTGGTATCTCTAGAGATCCTTATTTACTCACTGACAAGCATTTATTTCAACTACTCTAAACTTAAAATACTTGCCCCTGATAAAAAGAATCTAATCATACTGCCACGGTGTGAACCTGGCCCGAACAGGGCAGTCTCCCAGGATCATCTGGGATCCTTTGGGATCATTAGCTGCATGAGGGGACCACAGACCCATAGTAAATGCTCATTCTTTTCACAATTAAGTTACTGTTATAAAATTAATGCTGCCTCAATCATAATTAGATGATAAAATACCGTAATTCAAAGAAATTGATGAATCCATACTGAGCAATCAGGTCTTGCTTGCTAGCCCACAACGCTGGCAGGCCGGAACTGGTGAGGTGATCCCAGGATGAATCTGGACTGGTTCATACACGAAGGGAGGGAGGCTCCCACCTTAAATCCTGGGTGCACCTACTGGCTTCAGTCCGCTGACAAGTTTGCCTCCACTAGCTCTCCTTTTTTTGGAATCTCTAATTAAATGATAACACTATTGTGTAAAATATAAATTTATATCTGATGTATTATACATGTTATATGTGAAATAAATTCCATAATAACTGTGAATAAACAAAGTGTAAATCCAAAATATTTCTAAGAAACTGAAGAGCTTAGCTTCAAGCACTGCAGCATGCCCTCGTTGAGGCCAGCAGATGTAGCTGTGAATTAAAATAGGGAATGTGAACTGCTCTCCTTCAGCCAGTAGATGGCACCCTTCTTTTTTTTGAACTGGGTTTATAATGATATTTAATATGATTCAAGGTTGCTACCAACAATTATTTGACACTGGGATTGATTTTGATTTACCTGAATTTACCTAGAATAATCATATCAATTATTTATTGAGTGCAGAGACCTGGACCATTTCTGTCCAGCATTTTCTAAGATTGTTTTCTTTAGTCATGGAAAGATATCATTTCCCAGGACTCAGGACAATCTCACAATTATCCTCAAAACTCTCTAAAGGAAAACTGAAATGTAATACTGCTCTCCACAAGACTCAGAGTGGGTCATATAATAAGAATTTGCTTAGAGAGTCTTAAAACCGAAGGCGTCCATAATAACGGTCTACTGGGGAGCCCTGTCTAGGCACAGTGCCTGGCTCAGGGTAAGCCCACAAATGTCTTTTGAATGAACAAATTAATAAACACTACTGCTTTTAAAAGGTGTGCCCTTGAAAAACTATCAGTGGTTCATTTTTCTGTGAGACTTCTCAGATATGGATATCAAAGTGATATTCCTAATGACCTACAGGTAGGGGGACAGCACATTTGTATTCTCACGTTTTAGTTAAAGACATGAAGATATAAAAAGATTCCAAGTGTCCTTGTATTCAGCAGTGCCAATCAGAAAATAATTTTTCTTGCCCAACTATTTTATTTAGGCCATAAAACAAAGAAGTTCACATTCTAGAAACTAGAATAGCACCGGATAGTCCATAAAGCCCAACTTCTTGAGCTTCTTAATCTAAATATCTTCACTTTGTTGGTCTATGAAAATTTGGCTCGATTCATTATGACTCTTCTCATTCAAAGGCTATTTATATTTTAAAATATCTTAAAACTTTATTACTCAGTTTATGACCTACATTACTAAGTTCTGGAAACATCACCTAACAATTCCATGAAGTCAATATAAAGTGCTAACAGACCATGATTTTTATAGAAACTAAAAGCTTAATAACCTTATTATTAAGTATTTCATGCCCTCAAGTATATTTCACATGTAGTCAAAGAAGTTTTGTGAACTTCTAGGCAGCTGTGCTTCATTTTTAGCATAATAAAAATAAAATCTAGCACTATTTTTTTTAAGGGTAGTATTACTGTTAAAGCAATACATATTTAAGAATATACAGAAAAGTAAAAAAAAAAATTCACTCCCACACCCATAATTCATCCACACATTTATAACGGACATATTTCCCCCCAGTTTTTTCTACTTGTTTTCAAATAACTGCTCTCATATTATATATACAAATGAATCCTGCTTTACCATTATACCCTGAGCATTTGTCCACTGGAGATGAAGGCTAAAAGAAGGCCTTCTCTTTTCTAAGGAAAGAATGGCCCGGTCCTATACCTGACTGATATTAATTACAATGTTGGGAGATGAGGCCCACATTGAAGATACCCAGGAAAACCTGTCAAGTTATCAAGAATGTGTGGATCACATCACGATCAAAACTGAATTTACTACCTCCTTCCCCCTCATTCTGGCTCCTTCCAACTACTCATTTATTTCCAAACTTAGCTAGGGGAGGTAACATTGGAAAAAAAAAAAAATCTAGGTTCTAAAGACTATCAGACTTGGATGCAAATCTTGACTCTGTCAATGACAAGCTGTGTGATCTTGGACAAGTGACTTAACCTCTCTGAGTCCCAATTTCCTCATTCATAAAATGGGGGATATTACTAACTGCTTCATAGTTATTGTGAAGGTTAAATAATCTGCTATGCCTAAAATGTCTGGAACAATGCCTGCAATGGAAGGAGAGATTTTATACTGGTCAAAAGCAAAACTGAGGTTAACAACAAAAATCATCCAAAATCTTCAGTCATGGGTTTTCTAACTTTTCCAAGTAAACACAACTTTATTGTTACAAACAATTACTAGCCAGGAAAGTTACTTTAAAAATAAAGGTCAGACTAGAAGAAAAGCAACATCTATCTATCAGTATACTTTGAGTGAAAAGTACAATAATGCCTATGTTCAGTTATGATTAAACCAAATATAAAAAACTCAGTAATGCCTATAATATTACTTATCACCCCCCTCCCTTCCAATGTCCCCCTCTCTACAGAATCACTCCCATCAGCACACTCACACGCTGTTAATTCTCCCAACTTAAAAACAAAAACACAAACAAACAAAAAAACACCTCTCTTGATCTCAGTTCCCCTTCCAGCTATGACCCCATCTCTCTCCTTCCCTGTAAAGCAGAACTCAAGATGTGCCTATACATACGATCTGTCCCCTCCACTCTCTTGGATCCACTCCACCCAGGCTTTACCGACCAAGGACTGCCACACTGCTAACTTGGCAAACTCCTGAGTCTGATCTTACATGATTTAACCCCACTATACACCTTCTTCACCTGGTGTCCAGGTCACCATTCTCCCGGTTCTCCTGGGTTTTCTCCTTTGGTAGGGAAATCTCCCTTGCTAATTTCCTCCGTATTTCCCAACCTCTAAACCTTGGGAGTGCCCCGAGCTCCTTCCTTGGACCTCTTTTCTCTTTACGTTCAATGCCTTGGTGAGCTCATCGGGTCTCCTGGCTTTGAACACTACCCATACACTGAAGAGTCTCAAATTTACATCTCGACCTTGTACCTCTCCTCTGAATTCCAAACTTCTATATCTAACAGCTTGCTTGACTCACCACTTAGCTATCTAACAGATATTTCAAACTCACAGGTCCCAGACTGAGCTCCTGACATTATCCCTGAATACCTGCTCCTCTCACACTGGTTCCCATCCATCTTCCAGCTGCTCAGGCCAAAAGCCTTGGAGATCCTTGACTTCATTTATTCTCTCACCTCTCACATCCAATGTATAACAAGTCCTTGTTGACTCTACCTTCAAAATATATCCAGAACCTCTTTACCTCAGCTCCCTTGCTGCCACCTATTCCAAACCACCGTCAGTTCTCACCCGTCACACATGTGCAGCCTTGTCCACAGAACTTCCTACGAGTAGTTTAAAAAAAGCCAACCATTCCTAATATACAGCTTTTCAGCTTGGGGTATAAATTACACACACACACAAACATACACATACACACAAACACATACACACACACTTCTTGAAAATCAGGCATATTTAATATTTAGACCACAGAAAGTGGAATAAACATTCCAGATACAAATTCCAGGACTGTAGTTACTTACACTGTGAACTCCTAAAGCTTTCCAGACTGTGAAGCTGATCACACCAACCCCACACCACGCGTAAAGTGAGCCCCAAGCCAGGGCTCGCAAGGCAAGGCAAGACCCGCTCTCTGGTAAGGCGGCTGTGGCCATCCTTCCCTGCAATGAAGACAGAGAGGAAAAATCATCAGTTCAGAAAAAGTAATTATTTCAGGAGTGTTTGAAACTCATAACTCTCTGAATGTCACCATAATTTTGGGAAGCCAGACCAACCCAAGTCCAAAAAGAAGCTTTGCTACTTAATAACTGCAGAGAAGTCACAACTTCTCTGACTGACAGATATTTGAGTACTCAGGGCCTTGCCAGGAGCTGTGCTAGGTACTGGAGAGAAAAAGGCAAATAGAGTAACTTCTTTCTGACTAAAGATTCTAGTCACTGGGGGGTGGGGGGGGGGGAGAGAGGAGGGGGGAGGACACAGACACATAAAAGTTAATTATGATCTAAATGGAATGTGCAACAATAGAACTATACACATAGGGCACCATAGTCCCAGAGGAGGATACCTAATCTGTTGTTGCAATTAGAGGAAGCTTTAAGGAGGGGTTCTTCAAAGAGGTGAGCTAATCTAAGTCACTGCAAAGACTTTTAAATATATATGCAAAATGCAGGGCACGTAGTAGAAACCCAGCTTATGGCAGCTATTCATGAGAAACTAGAAAATAAATGATGACTCTCCTCTTGGGTTTCAAGGCATCATATTAAGGTAAAAATCTATACCGTAATAACTGAACAACTTTCAGACTATCAGCATGCAAACTTGACTAAAGAAGAACAGGAATGCAATGCATGCTTCAAAAGGGAATAACCACCCCATCACTGAAAGCACCGATTACTGATTATTTTCTTCCAAAACTTTTCTTTGCTGTTTTTGCCTATTAATTCTCCCAGAAAAGCCCTAAAACATTCTGTCAAGATTTCTCTGAGTCCCATTCATTGGCATTTTCATAAGAATGTCATCAAACTGATTAGCTAATGTGATAAGATAGCAAATGTATGTTTGGTCTTTCCTCTGGAAAGAAATTTCCATTTACTCAAGCCTTTCCCTTTTTAGAATAATTTTCTTTATATTGCTCAACCCATTGAATAAAGGTTTGTAGCACGTGTGCTGTGATTACGAATGTTATTGGTGACACACAGAAACACTTGGTTTACCTGTATTTTCAAGTCTTGCACCGTGCCCTGACCCAGAAGATAGTATTTGCTGACTTAACACTTGTTTGTAATATACCTGAGACCCAACCAGATTTTCAAGAGGTGTTTCTTTAGTTATTTTCTATGATCAAAACAACATGCTCTTACCCCTTTTCTCACATTGCTATAATTTCAGAGTGGTTCTCTAGATATCACAGATCTCATATAAATTCACTAACTTCTAACTGGCCTGAATTTTCATCCAGAAGCAGTACCATTAACCAAATATTATTAAACCAGGGTCAATTTAAGTGCCTAAATTTTATTTTAGAAACTTAAGTTAAAAAATTCCTTATTTCCTTGGGAAGGACAGAAATTATATATGTACTACATATGTACATGTGTTTTTAAAAGCCACCTTAGCTTACATCTTCCTCTGTTTACTCAATGAAGGACAAAGAAAAATGAATGTTCGTTCAGTACTTACTACTGCCTTTCCATTCCCAGTTTTCTAGCCTGATACTTAGCTAAGACAATGCAGTTAAGACTTTAAAGAAATGATGACCATCCTCCTGAAATAATAGCAGTGTAGACAGTCCCCAACTAAAAGCTGATTGTCTTTAAAGTCCTGAGCCACAATCTGAATCTGTATTATAGTTAATGTCTAGATTCCAGGCTAGTGGACAGAAGTCTATTTAAATAAAAAATTGCTAAAAATAGTGTAATTTCTTCTCCAAAAATAATCAAAGATGGAAAGAGTGCCATGGTGGGCAAACTGTTTAATCTGTGCCTCAGTTTAATGGGGACAACATAATAACAGCATCTCATGGGGTTGTGATGAAGGTTCAATGAGCCCTAACCCTTAAAGCAGCAGCTAGCACATGGTAAGCATTCAAATGCTAGATATTATATTATCACTATTAATGTCAGAGAAAACCGCCAGGCAGTGACTCTGAAGTACACTGCCTAAGTGGTATTCTTAAACCAGTGCTTCCTAAGTGTAAATGCATTAACTGCTCCAGAACCTCTGAGCCTCTCAAACAGAGTCTGGATCAATGGTAATGCTCTAATTCAGATGTTTCGCCAGAGGGGAGGCAGAACTTTACACAACATATTTAACCATCCAGAACAGTGGTTCTCAAACTTTCTGGTCTCAGGATCCATTTATACTTGGATCCCAAATATTTCTGATTATGTGGACTATACTTATTAATAATTAATATTTTAGAAATTAAAACTAAGAAATTCTTAAATTTTAACTATTAATTCATTTACAAATAAACCCAGTATAGATCAATATAAACCTATTTTTATGAAAACTACCTTACAAAACAAAAGAATTTAGTGCAAGGAGGCAATGTTTTGCATTTTGATTAATCTTTTAAATGTTTGGCTTAACAAAGGACAGATGAATTTTCATAAATGCCTCTGTATTCAATCTGTTGCAGTGTTTTTTGATTGTAAGGCTGGATTTTATGCAGATTCTTCAGTGATCTGTGGTTGGAAAAGGGACAAGTATTTTAATAGCCTTCCTTCTTTGATGCTCCACCAAAACTTCCCAAATAGCTGCATGCACTCTGGGATCTGAAGTCACACCAGTGAGTTTTTTGTACTTTGTTACATTAAAATCCATTAGTCTATTTTGTATTTCGAATGGACCTTTTATCCATGCATTATGATCATTCAGAAAATATTGATTTACCAAGTTATGCAGATCCTTCCAATGTTGACACCATTTATTAAATATTTAAAATTTCACATCATTAATATTACCACCAACCTCATCAGAAAAGCCTTTACATATTGAGCACCTATTAAGCTGACAATGACAGATACAAGTTTCCTAAGATCTAATTTTCACCTGCAAGCTCCAGTTTTATCATTGGCAACAAATACTGACAAGTGCTTGCTTGAAGAGACGACACAGGCTCATTTTGTTCATTTTGAAGAAAATGTCTGCCAAATACCCACTTATAGTCTGTCAGTTCCTCTTTCAAATAAAATATGATATTACATGGGAAGAAAAGCAGCTAGTTCAGCATGCAACTTAATCACACCATTGCTTTTCCTGGAGAAAAACGTCTTTCTCTGATATAAATCAGAAGGGCTTTATGCGTACTTCCCATTTCTTCACAGGGAATAGTAAAGAGGTATAATCAAGGGTTAAGATTTAATAAAATCAATAATTCAACTGCTATAACAAGGACATTCTTATGCAATGAGAGTTTTTTTTTTTTTTTTTTTAAACTACAGACGCACAGTAATGAAGAACACCATGACCGCTAGTACAGTTGGGTACTACTGCCTTGATTACACTAAGGCACCAGCAGTTTTACCCCACGTGCTTCTACACCATTAGTGCAAATGCCTCAATATTATTATGAAAATAGTTTTGACTTTACAGACCCCCAAAAGAGTCTCAAGGATCCCTAGGGTTCTACGGACCACAGCTTGACAACCACTGTGTTTGACAGGGCATGTGTGGCAATCAAATCTTAGAATCACAAAATAGAATGCGAAGTTGTAAATGTGGGTATTTGTTTTTTGTTTTTTTCCCTGAGAATCCCTAGTTTTCATCAGATTCTCAGAAAGGTCTGTGACCCAAAGGTTAACCTGGTAATTTAGGCTTAGAAATGAATGCAAATTCTACTATTAAAGCATCACTATCAGTTAGGCTTTACTGATTCCTTCTACAAGATATATTTCTGTACTGAAAATATTCTATAATACAGGGTGAAAATGACCACAAGTTTCATCACAGTGATTTGGGTAGCTCCATTTAAGCCTTGGGTATTCAGATGGGGAACAAAAGCACCTTAAATGTGGTCTTTTTCCTTTACAGTATTTACAATGCTTAAGTACGATATCAGATTATTAAAAATATAAGTGGAAAGGGAACTCAACTGGTTTACGATTTTTCACATAACACTGTTCTTCCAAGCAAACATCAAATTATAATTATATAGTTAATTGCGTCAATATTTAATATCTGTCTCCTGCACCAGATGCTAGCTTCCTGAAGGGCAGGCATTCTGTTCATTTTTGTATCTCTTGCACCTAGCTAGCACAATGCCTGACACATAAAAGATCCCAAGTTAACATCTGAAGCAATGAAATGATGGCTAAATAAACCATACGGGATAGAGAGGGCAGAGACAGGACAATACATGCAAACAAGTAACTCCAAGTCTACAAGTCAATGAGAAGAAACAATCCTCAACAATTGGGGTATGACCACATGAGTGATTACTCAATCTTGCTCATGGAGTTAAGAATTTTCTGCCTTAAGAAGCTTATGGTCATTCAACCCAAACTGATTGAGCACTTATGTGTCAGGCACTTTTCTGGGGAGCAGGGATGAAGCAGCACAAAGCACATGTGATCTCTGGGCTCAAGGAGCTGATCCATGCTTTTCATCAATGATAAGATGCACTTTACTTCAACAACTGAACATTTTTGAAATAGAAATGTCTCTGGTGGGGCGCCTGGATGGCTCAGTCAATAGAACATGAGACTCTTGATCTGGGTGGAGAGCTTAAATAAATAAATAAATAGAAATGCCTCTAGCAATCAGTATTGTGTCAAGAATTTAACTGGCATCATTTTTTTTTCCTTAGTGGTACATAAAATACTGGGGCCTCTTACAACTGATAGGGAATTACTCAGATTTAGACTTAGTCATGTTGTGAATACGAAATGTACTGGAGGAACTTTCAATGTCTTGTTCTGCTAAAATTTAAGAAAAAGAAAGCACATAACTACTTCTTTCTTTCTTTTTTAAAGATTTTATTTATTTATTTGAGAGAGAGTGTGCACAGAGGGAGAGGGAGGAGCAGGCTCTCCACTGGAAAGAGCCCCACATGGGGCTTGATCTCAGGACCCTGAGATCATGACCCGAGCTGAAGGCAGACACTTAACCAACTGAGCCACCCAGGAGTCCCTAAATACTTCTTTCTAAATGAAAATAAAGACCACTGATTAATTTGTACATTTCTTGAATCTATGAGATGTATATAGGTTTACTTCTTAAAACAATATGAAAGGCACCAACATTTTCTTTACTTCTCCTATGCACAACAGCTGCCAATTATCTGTAAACAATAACAATGCTATAAATGGATTTCCGTGTCACAAACCTTATTGAACCATTCAGGGCTCTTCTTTTTAGCCAATGATAATGTTGTAACAAATCCGGCTAGCATTCCTGCTGCAGCCACAGTACCAAGGAAAACTCCACCTGCCAAGAGTTTTGGGGGTAGGGGATGGAGGGTGAGGAGAGAGATTAAAGAGAGGGGAAAACACAACACAACACAACACAACACAACACCTTAAGAAGACGTACGCAAGTTCAGACACTATTTAAATTACATTTTAAGTCCCTTTTGTGGAAATTTGAGAACGAAACTAGGCGGCTCTGGCCATAAAGGTAAACGATAGCGGTGCGAAACCTGCGTGACCTCATGACCTCTGGTTCCTGAGATCATTCTGCGGGACCGTTCCCAAGTGCTGAGAATTGGCCCTGGGTCCCTTCCCCTCTTCCCGGGGACGGTTTGAAGTTTCTCCCGGGGAGGAAAACAAGCTAGTGGAAGGTAGGGGAAGGCACAAGAGAAACTAGAGAGGGGATGGGGGAAATACAGCACACAGCCCAAGGAAGACTCCATCCCGCACGACCCCTGACCCGGCCGATCCCCACCAGCTAAACTCAGGGCAACCCAAGGGAATGTCTCCCCAGGGCGGGGTGTGTGTGGGAACGGCGGGAGCAGCGCAGGCCCCGGAAGAGCTCGCCCCGACACCAGCACCTCACCACACCACACCTTTCACCAGGAAAAGCCGATCGTCTGTGGATCCCGGAGTGTCGAGACCAGCGGACGGCGGTCCAGGCCCAGCACCGGTCGTCTCCATGTTTATAAGCCTCCACTACTGGGTCCGACGCCAACTGGGTTCGGGGGGAAGCGAGAGCGAAGCGGAGGAGAAAGGTTCCGCTACCACCTCTCCCTGTGCGTTCTCAATACTGGTCCCGGGAACGGCCGCTGACCCCAAACCCTTTCTCCTCCCCCCACCGAGCCGCGAGGAAAACGTGGTGGCTGCACGTGGGTGTCCCCACCCCAGCCCCGGGGGGTGGTGTCCTCCCAGGCCGCCTCCAGGTTGGGCCGTTTGCCTGCTCCAAGGTGATGGTCGCCGCCCTTGAACATTGCGTCTATCTGAAACAGTGCTCGGCTCTGACTGTAGGAGGCAGTGAGCGGTTGCTGATTGCGCCGGGAGCCCAGGGCCAGCCGGGTCCGAGACCCTGCCCCTCCGTTTCCTGATCAGCCTTCCGTCACGCCCAGGGATTTAACCAGCGCTAATATTTCACGATTCTAAAAAGCAGGTCTCCGTCTTCTCTCTGTACTGTTCTGGGAAATTTCGTAGCAGTGCTCACTTGAGGTGTAAGGGACAGGTTTTTATCCGTGGAAGAGAGTCAGCCCGACAGCTCCGCTGTGATACACCTCCTTCCCCGCCCTTTGATTGATGGACCTACCAGGAGAGGTGAGGAACTGAAGTGAGTGAGCCAACCCAGCGGGGACAGCTGAGGACCACCCTGAGGGGCTGGCTAACACGGACGGCGAGGCTGCGCTAGAGCCCTTCTTGCGGGGAGACGCTGGTGCGGGCCGCCCCCCGACGGGGCTGGGGCTTCACAGTCTGGGAGGCTGATTTGCCAACGGCGGTGGATTCTATAAATGGTCACCGAGAGGAAGAGGCTGGAAGTCATAGAAAATCTTTTCAGCCTCTCAAACACCGACACATGACATCATCTTTTAAAATGAGACAACCTGTCATTTGTTCATTCTGAACACACGCACAAAAGCCATGAACTTCTTGAGGATGGGGATGGGGATTTTTGTTCAATTTTAGATTCTCTGGCTCTCAACTGCTTACCTGGTCCCATGTAATAAATTTTGGGTGAATGAGTAAATGGATGCATTAGTTCATCGCAATTAGTAGCTCAAACCTGGGTTCAGGTCCTAAGTCACTTCTCTGCTGTGTGAACTTGGCTGAGTTATTTAGGCTCTTTGCCTCAGTTTCCTCATATATAAAAGAAACTGACAGTGCCTGCCTTATAAGTTGCTGTGAGAATTAAAGGAAGCAATATAAATAAGTTAGCAGAGTGCCTGGCACAAAGAGATACTCAATACATGTTAGCTCTAGCTATCATACTTTTCAATTCCAGTAGCTGTTTTGCAGCGTTGCCTATGGAAAATTTTAAATTATAGATGCCCAAGGCCTACCGCTGAAGATGATTGCTCTGAAAGTCCAGGCAAGGCAGTTTAAAAGTTCGGGGTGGGGGGGCGGCTCTCTCTCTCTCTAAAAAAAAAAAAAAAAAAAAAAATTAAAAAAATCAGGGGTGCCTGGGTGGCTCAGTCAGTTAAGGTCCTGAGATTGAGCTCCACCCAGGGTGCAGCGGGCTTAAGATTCTCCCTCTCCCGCTGCCCCTCCCCCCCTAAAAAATTAAATAAAAAATATTTTTAAAAATACCTCCACGGGAGATTCGGATGATCAGTCAGGTTGAGAACTACTGCTCTGTTCAAATTTCTGGGTGGATGAACCACACAGAATTTATCTAAACTGTGGATGCCTTGGAAACACAAGGCCAGAGTCTGAAAAGTCCCTTTCAACAGGCAAACGCTGTGCTAACTTGTTTACAGTCTTTAGGACCCATCCTTTCTCCTTTCCCTCATACAAAAGGGTGATCAGAGCAGCCAACGTTTATTGAGTGCTTTCTATATGTCTAGCATTGTGCTAAGTGCTTCAAATATGTTATCTCATTTAATTTTCTTCATAAACTCAGACAAATTAGCTTGCTCAACTCACACAGCTGTTAAAAAGCAGAGCCAGGATATAAAAGCAGCTCTATTTTTAAAAGCAACAAAAGCAAAAAGAAATAAGTGGGGCTACCACAGGCCAAAAGCTTCTGCATGGCAAAGACACCATCAACAAAATGAAAAGACAACCTACTGCATAGGAGCAAATATTTGCAAATCATATACCTGATAAGCGGCTAATATCCAATATAGAAGGAACTCATACAACTCAATAGCAACAAGAAAAAAAAATGACATACATGGGCAGAGGATCTGAATAGACATTTTTCCAAAGAAGACATATAGCTGGCCAACAGACACATGAAAGGATCTCTCCATCATTAATCATCAGGGAAACACAAATCAAATCCACAGTGAAAATCACCTCACACTTGTTAGAATGGCTCTTATTAAAAAGACAAGAGATAGCAAGTGTCACCAAGGATGTGGAGAAAAGAGAACCCTCCCGCACTGTTGGTGGGAATGTAAATTGATGTAGCCACAATGGAAAACAGCACAGATGCTCCTCAAAAAATTAAAAATAGACCTACCATATGATCTAGCAATTCCACTCTGGATATTTATCTGAAGAAAGTGAAAACACTATTTTGAAAAACTATACCCATGTTCACTGTAGCATTATTCAATAGCCAAGATATGAAAACAACCTCACTGTTCATCAATGGATGAATGGATAAAGAAATTGTGGTATACATATTTCATGGAATATTCAGCCATAAAACAAATGAAATCCTGCCATTTGCAACAGCATGGATGGACCTCAAGGGCATTATGTTAAGTGAAATAAGTCAGACAAAGAAAGACAAATACTGTATGATCTCTCCTATATGTGGAATCTACAAGAACAAACAAACAAAATAAAAATTAAAAAAAGAACAAACAAACAAAAAATAAGCCCATAGATACAGAGAACAGATTGGTAGTTGCCAGAGGCAAAGGGGTAGAGAATAAGAGAAATGGCTGAAAGAGGTCAAAAAGTAAGAAGAAAAGAAAGAAAGAAAGAAAGAAAGAAAAGTAGTTCTGTCCAAGTCCTTACCCCCACCCAGTGGTCCCTAAGCTTGAGCTAGATAACTGGAATTCCCCCAAAGGGCCTCCCTCCCAGAGTTTTTGATTCAGTGGGTCTGTGAGGGGCCTGAGAACTTTCATGTCTAACAGGTCCGCAAGTGATGCTGATGCTGCTGGTTAGAGAGGTCCTCCCTCTTCTTTACTCTTGCGGTTTACACCTCTTAAAGCCACACCATCCGCTTTAACACTTGGAATTCTCTGCTCCCAACACTGCTCAGAGAGAAAATGTACAAGCTCCCTAACTCTCCGTCTTTGCTGGTCTCTCCCCCCGCCCCCCCGGAAAACCACAGAAATTTTTTATTTTAAGAATTATATTACTATTCACTATAAGGAACAGAAGAGAGAGAACACGTGTTTATTTTTTTTTAAAGATTTTATTTATTTATTAGAGAGAGAGAAACAGCATGAGAGGGGAGAGGGTCAGAGGGAGAAGCAGGCTCCCCGCTGAGCCGGGAGCCTGATGTGGGACTCGATCCCAGGACTCCAGGATCATGACCTGAGCCAAAGGCAGTCGCTTAACCAACTGAGCCACCCAGGCGCCCTTTTTTTTTTTTTTTTAAAAAAAGATTTTATTTATTTATTTGAGAGAGAGAGAGAGAAACAGCATGAGAGGGGAGAAGGTCAGAGGGAGAAGCAGGCTCCCTGCTGAGCCGGGAGCCTGATGAACACGTGTTTAAATTTAGGGATGTTACAGTGTCCTGTACTCTAGAGCCTTTTTTCCATTTTGAGGCAATAACAGCAACCAGTGCTAGACCCATGTCTGCTTCTGTTCCAAGGGCTGCACCTCACCAACATCTACCTTCATTCTAAATCCCTAAAGTAAAGGACAACGTTCCTCCTTCCCACATGTGAGCTCAACTTCCCAGGATACAGAGGGTGAAGAGGCAATGAAAGCAAACGAATGGGTCATCTTTGCCATGGTGAGTGATTTGCACTTTGAGGATCCTTGTCAGCTACAGGCCTTGAGAGGAGAGACTGAGAGCCCCTTGGATGAGGTGACCTTATTGTGTGGGGAGCTTCCCACCCCATTCCTCACGGGCTCTAGGCTCCTGTCATTTGCTCTGTTCCATATTCAGGAAGATGGTGATTCCAAGGCCTGGAAAGCCTGCATCGGGAGTCCCTGGCCTTGAGATTAGAACCACATTCCAGGCATCCCCAATTAGGACACTTAAAGAAAATGCATTTTAAAGACAATGTTAACCAAGATCTCCTATTTCTGCGGTTCACACCATTAGGTACTTCAGGTGCCATCGAATTAACTGGACTGCTCTCAGGACCCTCGAATCCTACCTAGACTGGTTTCTGTAAGAATGCGTGATGCAAGCTCCAAACAGGTGACTTGCAGGTATTTGGAACACGGTGTCTCTGCAAGATAGGGATTGTTAGTTCTGAAACAGCAAGGTGGGGCATATTCTAAGCATGGGCACCCATGGTCAGAAATTTGCAGAAGTTTGGTGCTCCATGCAATGTGAGCAGGACTGTTGTTTCAAGGGAAGCATGATTCCCTTTTAGGAAAATGTAATGGAAATGTCTTGCAAGCAAAGAGCCTGCTGGGAAAGCAAGCTCATCTGAGACAGACTCTGTTGCTATTTTGGTGTTTGTTTTAGCCAGCTGAAAGTCCATACCATCTATGCATCTGACCACATTCTTATTTCAAACCTTTGGGCCCCTGTAGATTCTATTTCAAGTTTTGACAGCTAGAAAACCTGTTAGCATCATAGTTTCCCAGAATGTGGGTACCCTCGCTCTCTCTAGTTCCAAACACTGACAGGCTTTTTTCCCCATCTATTTTTAAAACATATTTCTTTGGAGCTTCAATTTCTCCCTGTTTAAAATATGGGGCTGTATTCTTTTTTAAAATCGGAGAAGCGTCACACATTGGTCATTCTTCTCACGGCGACTTGATATAAGGTAGTTGTCAAAAATAGAGTGCAGAGATCTTTAAAAGTTATTGCCTAATGAAGTGCGTACATAGGAAAAAAGATCTGCTGGGCTTCATGCGGAATTATTAACAGAGGTTACCATGAGGGATGGGGGGAGGTGAAACTTTCTAATTGTATTTCATCTTTCTGTCCTAATAAGCAA